GAAGTCCCCTGATATTGCAGAAATTCACGGACAGCGTGGCAGGGGTCGCCTTGGTCTTGTTGCTCCGTTTGCCCAGAGCAGTTGTAGTCTCGAGCGGAATTTTGCCCCCCCCCCCCCCCCCCAGAATATGCGGGGTAGCCTGAGCACCCATGCTCAGAAGTGGAGAAACATGGTCGTGGATGCTCAGCGAGGGATTCTCCAGGGGTGCTGGTACCCTTCTGGGGTAGTCATCATTTAATTCCGCTACCATGTTGATGGGGGTGGGGATTTGGGCCTCCGGCCACTTGCACTCACCAGACGAAACGCGAAAGCAGAGCTTCCACTTCACGCCGGTATTCTGTGAGGTCGTGGTACCACCCCGGTTTGAGCCGGCCCATACGTGCAACAGCAAAGCTGCCGCGTGGCTCTACCACTGTTGTTTCAACACTGGTAAGATTTCTAATCTTTTTTACAGCATATGTTGCAGAACTAAGTCTGCTAGCTAATTTTGATATATGGGGGAGCCATTGAAGCTTTGCGTCCAGTGTGATTCCAAGAAAAATGGTGGTATCAACAAGACTCAGTTCCTCCCCATTTAAAATTACATTAGTATTGACATGTTTAACATTAGGAGTTACGAATTTCATGCCCTATTCTCCGCGACTCTGATGGGGCCGCACCGTTAATTGATGCGGTGATGGTGGGGCTGCGAGGGGAGAGGAGTGTCGGTATTGCGAGACGCCGCTCTCCCTACCCGCAGTCAAATCTTTGTTGGTGGCGGAGCCATAAACTAGATCCGCCGCTGGGGTCAGGAGGGCTAGTGCTTCTGAGTGCTCGCTTTTCCTGGCCCTATGGACTTCGTGCATCGGACACGGGAGCATCTGTTGCGCACGTGAAAATGGAAGCCGCGCCATGTATTCTAGAGTGCCTTACCTGAAAAGGAGAAGTGGGAGTAGTTCTTTTCCGAGGAGGGGCCGCTAATATCTGCAAAAGCGTTCCCGTGGCCCTGCCATTATGCGACGAAGGTGGAACACAATGGAGTTTTAGTCGGTGCGAGTCCGACATAACCCGTCTTTGCCCCCCGCGAGGCGGGTATTAGTAGGCATTTCAATGTAAAAAAAAGGAAAAAAGGGGGTGGGATAAAAGAAAAGAAGAAGAGGATCGTCTGTGTTTGTGTTTCCTATTGAACCAAACCAAATAACAGGAGCAACTACTTGAAGGAAGAACTCCTCAGACTTTCCCTGGGATGAACATGACCTGCGCTCTCCCACAGAGCCATACGCAAAACAGGAGAGTAGAATAGGTGTTCATCTAGTCCTACTGATACATTCTTGACCAAGGTAGGATATTATACTATTTTTATAATCACAGATTTTCATTACTATATATTGTTTCTCTAAAAGTACGTAGGGATTATGTATAAATATACATCTTGGACTTATGGGAGTGATTCTGAAGGTGTATTTTGGTGAATGCTAAATTAAAATACTGGTACATTACTACATGAAAATCTTTTTGAAAACGAAATTGTTGTTAAGAAAAAAAAAGTAATTAATAACGAGTCACGAAAAACACTAGTTTTTGTGATAATGCCCGAGTACAAATACCTAAAGATTAAACTTGATTTCTGATTGTTTGAGGATAATTCTGTTAAGATTGATTCTCAATAATAATAACAGTGAATTGTTGGGAAATTTTTTTCTACATTTTTTCACGGTCATATGAGCATTGAGTCGTGCACTTTTAGATTTTCCAGACTTTTTTATTGATGTTTGATATAAAATTATCGGAAAATTAGAAGTAGGTTATTAAAAAGGCTAGATAGGTAGGCTATTTGAGAAAACTTGTGTATTTAAAATACTTGTACCATATGCCGTATACCATAAACATAAGCCCATATTTCGTTCATTTTCGTTTTACACGAATACAATTTTGTCCCAGTAGACAATCCCTGAGCAAAATTTTAACAGCTACTCAGAAGTTTGCATCTGTACCGTTTCTTTACTCATGTGGACTGTGACTCGCTTTAGACAATAATTTAGGGGTCGAAATAAAAATCCAATTTATAATATTATACGATGTATATCACGGCTTTTACAGTGGTATTTTCAGGTATAAACAAAATATTCCGATTTTATCAATTCAATAAATAATGAACATAGTGACAATTCAATAAATAACAATTTTCACATTCAATTATATAAAGCGTCGGCGCCACAATAATTTTGATGTTACAATAATAAGTCGTATTCATTCTGTGTGTGGGATCAACTAAAATATTTTTACTTACACATTTATCGATGATCACAGATTGAGGGTTATAAAAAAGCAGATTCAAGAACATACCGTGCTATGGACAATTTTAACATTTCGAAATTTGCAATAGTGATTATTGAGTAATTTAGCTTTTTCATTATAGCTTATGGGCTAACTTATGACTATCAGCACTCCGACCGCGCGGGCGGCTCAATCCAGTCCTAACATTGCTTGTCGATCGATATCAATACCACATTTAAATTAACAATATAATAAAATATCAATTGTACCTAAGATCTTTTCCAATTAAATACGCACATTCGTTCTTAATTTGCATTTTCAATATACATCTAACGGGCCGCGGTGACGGCTATGATATCTTCGACGCGGTGTTCGCCCTCAGCCGAGTGGCGGCTGTGAGCTACCGCCCTTCTTCTGAGCATGACGTACGTTATTCATAATAATTAAACATACATTTTGTGATCAATAATAATAAAAATATAATGATACAAATACATTAATTACTACATTTTCGATTATTGTGTGACATAAATATTTACAAAGCGCATCATTAGGAGCGCCAAAATAGTTTGGCGAGGCGGACTCCCAAAGGAGAGATTATGTGCGGCGCGCCGAGCTTCAGCCCCGCTCGCAAAGGCCCAGCCATATCGACGCAACTTTACCTGAACGAAAACCTAACTTGCACAAATATCTTTATTAACTAAAACGCGAACATACTCCACTGTCAGGAGAGCTAAGAGTTAAATGCTCCAAAATAAAAACGTCTCGTCAAATTGTTAAAAATACTTATAAGAATTATATTACAAAATAGCTAGAGCTGTCCTGACCGTAATAATCGCCGGATGGAGTTAACTGGTTTATACAACTAAACAACGCGAGCTTGTTTAAAAAATTAAAAAAGAAATCATCCCCATGATCACGGACAAATAGTACAGATAATATAACGATACTACCAGTACATCTTACAAAACAAACAATATTACTATAATTATTAATGCGATTCTCGAGATTATGGTATGATTACAATTTGGGAATGCATGATACTACACGACAAAATACATAATTATTAAGTACCGATGATAAAAAAGACGTCTCTACATATACAAATAGCGCAACAACAATTTCATTACTTCGTCATCTATAGTAAGGTACAAAGGTAATATGGTGCTATAAGTGGCTGTTTGAGAACGATCAGCCTAATTCAGCGATTCAAGATTATGACGACAACACGAAGTTTTAGATAATAAAAATAATTGTTAGGTATAGTGAGGTCCCAAAACGAGTGCGCAATCGCATACGGCTTTAGTCGATAAAGCAATCTACGAACCACGAATGGTGGTAGCATTTTATATGAACTAGATGGCGCCATGGGCCACTTTACTATCACAAGCGATCACATTCCATATCATTATATAACACAACAGGGAGAAATAAGTAGATAATAATAAATTTGACATGATAAAATAATTAATTCAATAGAAGTTCCTTTCTTAAAGAAAAACACATTACTATAATTTATAAAATATAATTGTGTTACCCGTTCTCTTGTTAATGATAATGGAATATATCGCTAAGAGCATTTTTACATAAGCCCGCATTGATCCAACCCAGACTTACATGGATTGATTTTTGACTATGATTTTGCAGACATATGTACAAGAAAATGCTATTTTTTTATTTATCTTTTCCAGTCAACAGTATTAAATCTTACATTAGTTTTTATTTTGCTCAGATCATATCACAACGGAATAAGAGTTCACAATTGAAAACAAATCACGATTTAATTAATATTACATTTTTCAAGTTGTTTTTTTGCTATAATGCCCAGCATATTTTGATTCAATGGAAACGAAATTTTTTAAGGTATATCGTAATAGGTCAAAATAAGGTTAAAAGTTTTAGAGAACATGTTGTTTTGAGTGAGAAAGAAATAAGAATAATGAGCTAAGATTAATCTAAAAGAAATTAATACTGGTGTATACATATGTACATATTTATATAATATTCTTCTATATTTTGAAATTATTTCAATAAGAATGGTTGCTTACACCAACGGAATCATCCATAGAAATTTTATGCTGTTTCATTCTAATTCAATTGACTTTCTATCATCATTAGTGCTAATAGAAAACTATAAAAATGAATATAAGTACATTAAAAATACATTGTTGACTTTGTTGATAGATATAACATTGAATTCATCCATTTTATAATTTTTTATTAGTGTAAATGATTGTAAAAAGCAAACTTGGTAACAAGCGATGCAATTGCAAATTAAAATTATATGATTACAATGTTAACATTCCGTTGCGTTGTGTCCGGCATCAATCAATGCAAGGAAGCCTGGCAGGATGGTGTCCAGGGTTGACACTGGCTTTGCGACAGCGCGGATGTACGCTTACGGTTATAATGGCGATGACTGAGAGCTGTCTGCTGAAAGTTTCCGCAATGTAAAAGCACCCTGTGGACAGCGTTTGATAGCTTCAAGAGTGTGAGACTGCGCAGCGCGGTGTCGAGGCGTCGAGAGTGTGGATGAACTCTTGAAGTGTCCGGTCGCCCACGTACACAATTGGGTCGCACTGAGAGTCGCCGGCGTGTGCGGGTGAACGTTCCAAGTGTACGTGAGCTTAGGTAGGCGATGTGGGCGCGTTGTGCGACTGCGTAGCGGGCTGTAGCCAGGGGGGCGGCGGGTAGATCGGGTCGGGGCGGGGCAGGGTGGGTGGGGTGAGGCAGGCGACGGGTGCTCAGTTGACCATGAGCGTGTGCGACTCCATGGGCGCGGCCGAGTCGTACAGCGTGTCCGTGTCCTGCGTCGGCTCGCCCTGCAGCTGGCACTGGTTCGACAACGTTCCCGCACCGCAGTCGCAGAAGAATCTGAAACGGGAACGACGTTGTCGTTTTTATAATACCGCAGTATAAAGATTAGTTTAGGTATAAAATTAGTATTTTTTAGAAGATAATTAAGGTTGACAAACAAGCTCACAGACCACCTGGAGGTATAAGTGGATCCAGTAACAATAAAAAAGATGAATTATAATGAAAATGAGGACTCAAGGTACCATACAGTGATGACTGATTCTCATCACTAACCATATGCGACAATGCAGCATATTATGCTTCTATTTTACGTTGGTGTTCTGTATGAGTGTAACAAAACCAATTACATGATGCAGAGTAGCTCTACTAGATGTAAAATGCTAGCTATATGCTGCTAGTTTCATCTGTGCTAAATTTACACTTATCCATATACAATTAAATATAACCCATAATTGCAATCTTCTTCAATCGAAAATATTATATTTATAATGAGCAAACCTAGATTATTTTACATAATAAAGAGATGAATGAAGAACCTAAAAGTATATTCAATAAGATTAATGTCAACCATATTGTTTTAAAAAAAGAAACAAACTTAATTGTGATATTTATATAGAAAAATGAAATAGTTGAATTCATCAGTGGGTTTTGAAGGTGACAGCCGCTAATATTCTAAAGTCTTAGAGAAAAAAGAAAGTCTAAAGAAAAATTAAATAATCGAAATAAATTTTACCTGTCATGGCGAATAAATTCAACATCATGTCCAGAATGGCACGTTTTGATACAATTAACGCAAATTGCATTTCGGTCTGTTGTATTGCATGTCTGGCATCTAGAAATACATTAACATTATAGACTTAACAAGTTTCAAGTTTGTACATTAATATTAGACTGAGGTTACAATTGCTTAGAGCAAATTCAGATAAATTACCAGTTGATAGTATTTGAAAGGAAACCTGCATCTGTAATAAATATATTTTGAGAATATATGAACTATTTACTCTAAAGGGAGAAGAGTGATAGGTAGCCACATTAAAAAAAAACACATAAATGAGAGGTATTCTCATTTACTTTTTTGCTTTCAGCTTTAATGGTAGGATCTGCAAATTTTACTATGAAAATTAAAAATTCCTTTGCCTATTTTTACCAGACTGTAAGCTTAAAAAGAGGATAACATCTTTGGTCGATATGAATGTTGTAAACTTATCATAGTATTTTGATCAAATGATATTTCTATCGATTTGTCATAATGAAAGAAATATAGCAGATATGCATTGTCAAATACATGTGAGCAATAAGAAAATGTACTGTTTATGGTATTACATTAAAGAAGTTATATTAGGAAATATATGTTCAAGACAAGGGTGAGTAGGCTTTTGTCAAGCTATGCTATATTATGACAAAGCCACAATATATTACCTGTAGAAATCATGCATAGGAAATGAGGTGTACGAGGATATCTTGTAAAGACATTGGCCACCACCAACAGCTTTCTCCACAGCATCTTGGTTGCTGAAGATTTTGTTACCCCGGACCAGCGGAGAAACTCCAGATGCCAGACAAAGACCTAGCAACACAAAAACTGTTAGCACAACTTTTTACATTTTTTAAATGATTTTCGTGTTTTGCGAGTTTTCGTGTCGTTAAAATCCATATATTGCAGCCACCAATATGGTAAAGTTTTAATGTAATATAATAGTCACATTGTGATTATTTTAAAATAGTAATGAAACACTAGGACAAAACCTTAAAACTTAACCAGAATACAACAAGAAAACCTAGTCCATTGCTAAACTATCTTAGCAGTGTTCCAAGCTCGGCATACAGATTGTCTTAAATCTGGCATTTTTGACACTGTTATGTTCATGAGTTGGTTATTTTAACATCTATGAGACTTGTCAACAATTTCCTTTAGCTATCTTTTACAACACCCTGATATTATAAGTTTATGGGTATTCCTAGTATGCCATCTCACTGGAATTGTTTGATTGGAAAGAATTGAGTAAAATTAAATTTACAATTAAATACATTTTATGTACAATAATAATGTCCTCCAGACCGAATTTCGGCCACGGCGGCCTGCCTCCACGGAGGCCAGCCATCGGCGCAGGGCAGGATTATAGTGTCAAAGCGTATGTGCGCAAGCACAGGTGCACTCTCTATTCCCTCACTCTCATAATCCGATGGGACGGTAAACCGACACGACCGGAGAGAGATCAGGCGCAGCACCAACGGCTTTACGTGCTTTCAGAGGCACGGGGGTGAGACATCGTCAACTTCCTAACTCCGGGCAACTACTGAGAATTTCTTAACGGGAAACTCAATTAAGTTAATTTTTTTGGCCCGACCCGGGATTCGAACCCAGGACCTCATTATCAGCAGTCGCACTACTACAACCACTAGACCAACAAGGCAGTGATTTTATGTATAGCGTAATAGCGTTACCACATATCACCCTGGGTGTCGTAAAAGGTGACAGAGGGCAACAAATTACGAGATGGTAAGCAGTGTCTTTCTAATAAGGAATAAAAATAAAAAAACTGCAGCTGCCAACCGGCTAGCCAAGCATGGCAATTATGGTAAATATCCCCCAATGAGGCTGGCTGATTCTATGTAGGAGGCCTATATTCAGCAGTTTTTAATAGGCCGTAACGGTAATGGCAACATTTTATGCAATGCAACATAAATTTATTTTTGGGGTAATTAATACATTTATTGTACTTCATAATGCATCCTGCATTTCAAACTTCAGGTCTGGGTTTTTGTCCTCATGCAATAAATATAATAGGTAAAATATCCTTACTAAAACAACAGAAATTACTATAGTCAACCAAATCTAAGAAATACATATTGACAGCTGTTAGACTTATTGCACCAGGCATGTCAACCAAAAAATGGGAACATACAATATTCGATTCTTAAAAAAATCGATATAAATTATTTAGAGTTGGTAATCATTTACAGTTTGGTTTGAATAATACCAGAATAAATTAAAAACAGATAATTTAAAACACAAGATTTATCAGTTTCTACATATTCGTTGTTACTGCTTATTTCTAAAGGCACAGTTATAAAAATTTAAGATTAAAACTAAATTAAAAATAAACTTATTCAATCACTTTCAGTACAACTGGTTGAGCTGTCATTGTTTGATTTTCAACAATACAGTCAAAATTAATGTCTCTTTCAAAGTCATCCATAATAACTTTTTTTTTGTTTTTCTACCACTTTTGCCCAATGATCCTTTGTGACATGGGCACATGCTTCAACGAACATAGAAGAAACAGCCCAAAGAGTTAAAGCCGAGTCACAAAATAAGAAGACAAACACAAAATCACAAAATTACGCACAGTAAGCTCCCGAAATAGCGGGATATTGAAATTACGTAGCGGTTTTTATATCGCGGCCTTGTATATGAGTTTTTTGCCTACACAAATTTACGTTGACAAATTAAAAAAAAAATACTTGTTACTTGTTAAAAATTTTTACCGATTATTTGAATATTTTTACCGATTATTTGAATATTTTTGCCGATTATTCGCATAACAATGAATCAAATAATCCAAACACTACGGTAATGTACATAGCGACATATCATCGAACCGACGTCAAGTACAAAAAGTTGATACTGGTTATTTTTTAATATTTTGCTTTGTTTGAAAGATTCAAATTTAAATTAGTGATAAAAACTATACACGCTGTAATGAAATATAAATAACTTTATAATTCTTCAGTTTTACGTAAATGGTTATTTTAAATTGTGTGAGTATGCTTGTGCAAAGTTATTGCTGGATGTTTAATGGGAAACGTCAAAAGTTATTGCTTAGATTTGGTTGACTATAATTCGTCATATTTTTAAAAAGTTTGACAAAAGTTCGAGAAAAAGAGATCGAGATTGCAATTTTGTTTAACAAAATCTTTAAATTTACAGTTATTTACTTATTCAAATGTATGTAAAATACAAAGGCATTATTTTTGATAACCATTCTCAATATCAGTAATATCCATATAATGTGATTAAAGTCTTGAATTAATAAATATATTTTTTTAAATAACTCAAATATAAAATATATTATTGTTAGGCGAATGCTACACGCGTGATATTTATTACGATCTGGGACGCGATCTGGGATGACGTATCGCGATCCATATCGACACACCCTACACGATCATTACGGATCAAGTCAGTATCGGGCACAAAACTGTAAGTGCAGACATATCTAAAATGGACCAAAATGTAGAAAAAGCTTTTTTTTTTAATAGGATAGGGTGACAAACGAGCACACAGTCCACCTGATGATAAGTGGTTGCTGTAGCCCATACACATCTACATCTACCCTCAATTACGAATCAGAATGCAGATGCGTTGTCACCCGTGAGGACTAAGATGGAATGCCTCGTTTCCAGTAAAAAGTGTCTCCGGTTCTCTACACTCACCATAAGCAACACAGCGGCATTAAGCTATTATTTTACGGTGGTATTCTGTGAGAGCGTGGTCCTTCCCCGGTCGAGCCGATCATTTAACTTCATAATGGCAATAATATTAAAAAGGAGAACGTCGATTTTAACAATTTTTTTTCTAACATATTCCATTGAAACGTCATTTTTTATAAATTGGTAGTATCGCTATAAAAGTCATCCTCTTCCTTCGCTTCTCCAGAGCAGACTGACGCGATCCGTACCGTAGCAACACTAAACGCGAAATATTTATCACGATCCTTGGATCGCGATATGGATTTTCGGAAATCTAGAAATTCTGTGATCCGTATCGCGATCCAAGGATCGTGATAAATATCACGCGTGTAGCATTCGCCTTAGTGTTGGTAAATGCAAACGTGTTTAGGCCATACATGTACCACCATACCTCCAAATCTATTGTTGAATATTTGATTGTGCTCAAGTGTGGCCGTAGCGTTGTTCGTAATTTCGACGCCGGCGGCGAGTCCATCGAAAATACGATTCCGACGTAATACTGGATGGCTTTGAGTTGAGATTAGGACGCCCGCTTGCGCATTGCGGAATATATCGTTTTCCTCCAAAACGCCCTGTAATAAAAGCATTAGTGATATTTAATCGTTCTACTGCATATAACAAAAAAATTTAGATTGCTAGATTTAGGAAGTTCGTTTTTATATTTTTTTTTATAACTGCTGACGACTTTACCTGTGTTTTAGAATAGACTAGAATTTTCTTTTTAATATAGATTATTACATAATACTCATTGAAAGTATTAATTATAAGTATAATTTCTTTATTCACCACTGGTTCGGAAAATTTCTCAGTCCTGGGAAAAACCAGCAAGAAAGCCAGCGGAACTTTTTTTAAACATATTTCACTTTACAATAACCTTGACTGTACAATTTTTCTTTAATAAAACATTTAAACTTGTTTATTGACAAATTTTTTACATTTTCTGGGAATTTGTTGTAAAAGAGAGTCTGCCTGCCTTACCACAAGTATCAGGCACAAGCATTACTTGGAAGATTTGCCCACCTCACCAATTAATGTTATTTTAATAATGCTTTATAATTAATTCTTTTAATAATGCTGAAGTTTGTTAATTCTACAAATTTACTCTCCATCTGATGGTTAGTAGCTACTGCAGTCCTACAGATGCGTTTTCACCTCTTAGGACTAAGTGATTTATTTTATAGGAGGAGCCAAACGAGCATGCGGCTCACCTGATGGTCAGCGACTACCCTCATGAACAACTGCAACACCAGAAGAATTGCAGATGTATTGCCGGTCTTTTAAAAAAGAGTAGGCTTTTTTCTTGAAGGTCCTTAAATCGTATCGGTCCGGAAAAATCGCTGGTGATATTTGATTCCAAAAGGAAGACGTGCAAGGAAGAAAACTTCTAAATCAGATGGTCTAGATGGTGTATCGTGAGTTTTGTCACGATGTGCGACGGTGAAATTGACCGGCTGAAATTAGTCCAAACAATTCCTCAGAGCACTGCCCAGGACAGATGCGCTAAAATACGGAAAGAGATACTCTCTGCAGCACAACATCTCTGCAGTGTCAGTGAGTCAAGCCGATCAGAAAGAACTCGGTCGCCGACGATTCGAACCGCTCTGCACTGGATACGATCAAATGAAAGGAGCTTGCACTGGGGAGACTCAGCCCAAAGATATAAGCGGTATTCAATGTGAGGCTGAACCTGCAGCTTGTAAAGTTACAGGCAATGTGCTGTCATGAAATACTGTTCTGCTCTGCTGAGCACATTAAGCTTTTTACGGACCAATTTGGCCTTCTCTTTTAAGTGACTATGAAACTGCACGTCACTCGATATGTCGACGCTGAGGATTCCAATACTGGCTGAGAAATCGAGGGGAGTGTCCCGAAACTGAGAAGATACGACAAAGGGGTTCTTTTTAGGTGATTTACCTGGAATAGATTTTGTCGCTTTAGTCCGAGAATTTGTTTAACAATGTCTCGACTTCAAACACAAGTTTGTTCCGGTACTCGACGACGTTTTTCCGAATTTGTTTCTCGGGAAAATATTGGCACGGCCGGTGTATAAAGCATCATAGCAATGAATATTAGCGGTTTGCGACATATCATTGATATGCAGAAGAAACAGCGTCGGTGATAGCACGCAGCCCTGTGGAACACCAGCGTTAATGCGCTTGCAAATGTGATAAACAAACTTATTGTCCGCCTGATGATGGTAAGCGGCTACTTCGATCCTAAAGATGCTTTGTCACAGTTGTTTGCCAGAGCCAGAGCCAAATAAACAGGGTGCACAAAGTGCAGATAACACTTGCTTATAAAATCCGTTTAATGCAATATCTCACCTTTCCTCCATTAAAAATGCAGATACCGCCATCACGCCCATCAAAAATTTTATTTCTTTTGAGCGTGGGATTTGAATCAGTCTTTATCCATACACCAGCCATAGCGTTATCAAATATCTCATTCTGTTCAAGCAGGCCCAGCCCGCCGTTATAGACGAGAACGCCGCCGTTCTGTCCGCCCCATATCTTGTTACCGCGTATGACTGGGTTACTGCCAGTCCTTATTTGAACGCCAGAGTATAAATGGTTGAAAATGTCGTTGTCTTCCAGTTTTCCATGCCCGTTGTCGTAAAAATATACGCCAACCTATGATAGTTTAAAAAATATGTTACATATATGTTTTATTAACGAATAAAAACTAAATGAAACTAAATTTATGTACATTTAACCATCATAACTATTTAAAAAACGTTCTGAATGGTTATTTTTTTATTGGTTCAAGACTGGAAAATAATTTCTCTAATAGTTTAATAATTAATAGCATACCTGTTTTCCTGAGTGTATACGGTTCCTACGCAACACAGGAGTGGATCCAGTTGTAATCCAAACACCTGCCAGTGTGTTTGCGTATACTTCATTCTCTTCAATCAAACCCTGTCCCTTCTCATGAACATAGATACCACCATGTTGCCCATGATGAATTTTGTTGTGCCTAACAATAGGATCACTGTTTGTGCGGATCTGAAATTAAGGAAAATAGAAGTTTATTAGTATGATTATTTCACCAAAAACTTCACTGAAAAGGGTGACCAAGATCGGTATGAATATTTTAGGTTGTCAACCTCGCCAATAAAGAGTAGATTTCTTAATGGATACCAAGTTCCCATAGTACTTCCTTAAATAATCGCCACAGAAATGTACAATGTTCTTCAATTCATTTAAAAAAAATCTTTTTTATTGAATTTATAATTTGGCAAGTTTTAATATTCAACAATGTTTAACATGATAATATATAAAAGCTTAAAATGTAACAAATTGTTCTATTTTATGCTACAAGCAATTTAGTTGGATATAAAACGTGCCAAGGTACAAATTCAATATCATAGAATTTATAAGTAATACTGATTGGTTTAAGCTGCCTGATAAGAGCCTTATTAATCATGCAAAATTGCATGTTTGTAGTATTAGTCGAAGGTAGTTTAGTTGGATATAAAACTTGCCGAGGTAAAATTTCAATATCATAGAATTTATAATACTCATTGGTTTAAGCTGCCTGATAAGAGCCTTATTAATCATGCAAAATTACATGTTTGTTATTTTTGTATATAGAAGAGGGGGCAAACGAGCATGCGGCTCACCTGATGTTGAGTGACTACCGCCGCCCATGATCAACCGCAACACCAGGGGAATTGCAGGTGCGTTGCCAGCCCTTTAGAAAAGAGTAAGCACTTTTCTTCAAGGTCCCCAGGTTGTATCGGTCCGGAAAAATCGCCGGTGGTAAACTATTCCACAGAGAGGTTGTACGCGGAAGAAAACTCCTTTAGAAAGGTACAGTGATGGACCGCCAAGCATCCAGATGGTGTGGATGGTATCGGGACGTTTGCCGCGTAATGCGCTCACGAAATTTGGCGCCTGGGATTAATCCGAACAATTCCTCAGAGCACTCTCCATGGTATATGCGAAAGAAAATGCAAAGAGATGCAACATCTCTTCGCAGTGCCAGTGAATCGAGCCGATTGGAAAGCACTCTGTTGTCGACGATTCGAGCCACTCTGCGCTGGATGCGGTCAAGTGGAAGGAGCTGGTACTGGGGAGCCCCAGCCCAGAGATGGGAACAGTATTCCATGTGCGGCCGAACCTGCGCCTTGTAAAGTTGCAGGCGGCCGATCAATTTGGCCTTCTCTTCCAAATGACCACGAAAGTGCACGCCACTCGATATGTCGACGCCGAGGATTCCGATACTGGCTGAGGCAACAAGGGGAGTGCCTTGAAACTGAGGAGATACGACAAAGGGGTTCTTTTTAGCGGTTAACCCGCAAACTTGTGTCTTCTGGGGGTTAAACTGGACTAGGTTTAGTCGCCCCCAATCCGAGACTCTGTTCAGCAAAGACTCGACTTCGGACACAAGTTTGTCCTGGCACTCGGAGACGTTTTACCTAGAAATATTGGCTCGGCCGTTGTAAAGAGCATCACCAGTGCTGTTATCTGCATAGCAATGAATGTTACGGGTTTGCAACATATCATTGATATGCAGAAGAAACAGCGTTGGCGATAGCACGCAGCCTTGTGGAACACCAGCATTAATAGGCTTGCAATCGGAGCTTGCACCGTCTACAACGACCTTGATGCTCCGATCTGCAAGAAAGCTGGTGATCCAATCGCAAAATTTCTCGGGAAGCCCATAGGAAGGGATCTTCGAAAGAAGCGCTTTGTGCCAAACCCGATCGAAGGCCTTCGCAATGTCCAAACTAACGGCCAATGCCTCCCCCTTGGACTCTACTGTGAGTTAGGTAGACCAGAAGATCTCCAGCTGACCGACCACGGCGAAAACCGTATTGGCGGTCACTAATCAACTGGTGATCCTCAAGGTAAGGTAGATCCTCATGAGCTGGCAGTTTACAATGGACTCCATTGTTTTGGAGAACAAGGAGGTGATGGCGATAGGCCGGTAGTTGGACGGGTCAGAGCGGTCGCCTTTTTTAGGGATCGGGTTAACGAAAGCCGTCTTCCATAATTTTGGGACTACGCCTAGGGAATAGGAGTACCGGAAAAGACGCGCTAAAACCAGTGCCAACTCTGGAGCACACGTTCTCAGCACAATTGGGGGGATTCCGTCAGGCCCACTCGACTTGTGGATGTCTTGTGGTTGCGTTGTGTGTGTTTGTAGTATTAGTCGAAGGTAGCTAATAGTAGTAGTACCTAGGCTGCACTAAAAGTATCGGGAATGGAATATTTCCACTGTTCCTGTCATATTAAAATCTTTTTAATTGAAATCTCCTTGGTTTTAAAAATCGAATACCATTTATTTATTTAAAAAAAGGTAATTCTTGTCACAAGGTTTTGTCAAATTTGTTTAGTCGTTGAGAAAATGGAATTGAATGAGAAAATTCAAGAGCGATGATTTATTATGACTTTCGAAGTGGTTTAACACAAAAACAGTATGTTGACCGGATGATTTCTGCATTTGGTGATGGAAGCCCCATCCAAAACCACAATTTATCGCTGGTTTGCTGAATTTCAACGTGGACGTGTCAAGCTCAGTGATGATCCCCGTCAAGGTCGTCCAAAAACTGCAGTCACTCAAGAAAACGTTGATGCTGTGCGTAAGCTGAATGAGGAAGATCGACATGTTGTGACATACCGCGAAATTCAGGCAACTTTAGACATTGGCATGAGTCAAATACAAATAATCTTAATGACGATTAGGTGTAAAAAAGTTGTTTTCCCGATGGATACCGCATTCGTTCTGTGAAGAGCAAAAAGCGGCTCGCGTTCTTGGTGCATCAGAACTCTCGAAAGATTCCACGCAGGATCCTCAAATGCTGTATACAACATCGTATCAGGTGACGAATCCTGGATATACGCGTACGAACCCGAAACAAAAAACCAGTCACGAGTTTGGGTGTTCGAAAATGAGTTAAAGCCAACAAAAATTGTTCGTTCACGGACATTGAAGTAATATGTACTTACGTACTAGAACAGCTATCTCAAAAAAAAAAAATGTACGCTACTCTGTGTTCGCGCGGTTGGTTTTTTTTAATCATAGAATAAACATAGGTAGAATGATCCGTAGGTAATAGTAGATTGTATTGTTAAATAGGTAAATTATATCGAGAACAATATTTAACATTTGTCATTTATTTTGTATATTACATTTGCTTATTTAATATATTACATAATATTATATCACAATTACGTTTTAATGATATTTTTATCTGAATATTTTAAAAGGTATCTATTTCAAATATAAAAGAACGCACTAAATGTATGATAACAAAACTTAATAACATAACATTCAAATTACAAATATATTTATTTAAATTAGAATAAGAGTCGTTCATAAATGCTGCGTACGCGAGAGTTAAAAATGGACGAATTTATTCCACTTTGACTTTGATGTGGAAACCTAAAAATAAAATAAAAGAATAATAAGCAGATTTAAACATGAAAAATTTAGCCTAATTATAATAACTTATATATGTTTCTACAAAAAAATGTGCATAATAATATATTCGTTCTATACTTAAGTACCCACAGAAATGTCGCATCTGAACATATTAATATCATAATCTATATACCATGACACGAGATGGCGTCTTAAGAATAATTTGTTTTATTATTAATCTATAATACTTTTTTATTGATTAATTATCTTATTAACGAATGAAAAGTAATTCTTTGGTTTTTACTGACAAGACATTTCTTGAATTATTTGTGCAATATCTAAGTACACACGAGGACATATTTTTGTCAAGAGATTTTTTTTAAATCAACACAACACGTGACAACTCTACAAGCGCCCAGCGAGTGACTGATTAAAGTGCGGTGCATGCACCGCAGTTGAGTGGAACAGAGTAGCTGAATGCAGTGTCGCCTCTAGTACGTAGTACATAATAGCTCAATGTTCACGGAGTGTTGCAAGAAAAATGGTGGCCACGTTTGTCTCCAAAACCGGCCATGTTACGACTATTCCTCTTGAGGGACAAAGAACGGTTAATGCAGAATGGTATGCTAGCATTTGTTTGCCACAGGTGGCAGTTTCTGAATTCCGTAAAGAGAACTGCAACCGCCGCATCATCCTCCATCACGACAATGCGAGTTCTCACACCGCACACAGAACAAAAGAGTTTTTAAAGCAAGAAAACATAGAATTATTAGACCATCCGCCGTACAGCCCCGACCTAAGCCCTATGGATTTCTATACTTTCCCTAAAATAAGGAATAAATTGCGTGGACAGAGATTTTCATCACCTGAAGAAGCTGTGGACGCCTACAAAACGGCCATTTTGGAGACCCCAACTTCCGAATGGAATGGTTGCTTCAATGATTGGTTCCATCGTATGGAAAAATGTGTCAAATTTTGCGGAGAATACTTCGAAAAGCAATAAATACATTTTTAAATAGTAATGTTGTGTCACTTCCTTGATTCCCGAAATTTTCAGTGCCGCCCTCGTAGGCAGAAGTAATAAATTACTTAAGGCTTCCGTCTAGCTTTGCTGTTTTACATTCCCAGCCATTAGAGGGGGCGCTCTCCCCCGTGCATAAATACGTCCGAGATCACAGGTGAAGGTGCTCTACTTCATTAAATATATAATTTATTAATTTTTTTTCCAAAAATATTCATTTTACTTTTGTCGTGATAGTATAATTTTTACCCTTTTATACTTCATAAATGACGTTTTTAGTAATGTTGTAGGTTTAAAAAAGGGTATATACAACCGAAGGAAAATAAAAACCGCCTCTTCATATAAATTTCGCCTCTACCTTGTACATTTTATACTTAATACTACTTTTACTACTATTTTTACTGACACAAGGATATTTCTTCTTTTATCTATCCATCTTTTACGTTTTTTTTTTTTTGGTAATAAATTATATATAAAACTTAAAATATATAAAACATACCAAATATATAAAAGTCCAAGTCAATTAATCTAATACTAATATATACACTAAAAACTAGAACTAATATGACAATTAAATAAAAGTAATATATATTTAAGTAGAGCAATTTTCACGATATGCTCCGCACCGTCCGTGAAGACCGATTTACACTTCGACAAGTACAGTAGCGAGTTAACTTGCGAACCTGGTGAGTTAAGTTTGAACCTCGTTTGAACAGCTAAAAGCGAGTTAAGTAGCAAGTTAACGATTAAGTTGAACGGGATAGCCGGCGAGCTATTTTGCGGCGAGTTAAGTGCGAAGTGCTGCCCTCCCGCGCGTCTCGCGCCACCCGCAACTAAACTCGCCGTTCGTGTAAACGAGCGAGTTTAATACTTTTCTTGTATTGTTATAGTTTGTACATAGCAGAGGCTTTAATAAGACCTTTTACGGATGTAACCTAAACATAGGCATGTTTAACGCCTAATAGAGCTATTAATTTAAACACCAAAATAAAGTTAAAAAACAGTTTCGAAAATATCAAATCCTCCACTTTAAATAAATGTAAAATATGTTTCACTTTTGTAAATACTATAAAAAAATATTTGTTTTGTTGTAAATTTTGCGAGAACACTAATTTTTACAAGACTGGGGCCTTAACCTCATATTAATGATGTTGTTAGTGTAGGTTATTTCAAGTTTAACTTATATATAAATTAAGAAATTATTTGAATTAATTGTAGTTTAATGAAATAAATAAAATTTATTATTATTTAGCGACAAACTCGGCCTTTTTCAAATAATTTTATAACTTTATTAGCCAAACAGGGAATAGAATTGGCACCAATTAGAAAATTTTATTGTGATACAAAGGAATAAAACAAAGGTAATTGTCATTAGAAGAAAAAGCGCTCCCGAAATAGTTAATCTACGTGCGCTGACACGCTGTAAAGGTAAGTGATACGTAAATACAATGTTCTACAAAAATTCTTTACACCATCTAAAACAAAGTCCGCAAACCCATATGCCGATTTCTTATACATAAGCCACAATACGGTATTTTGTGACAAAAAAAATATCAATATATAAACTCAAGCCCGATAGAACCAATAGAAACTAGCAGTGAATGCTTATTCTATGAGCGTGATTATATCAATCATTTTAGTTAAAGAATTATCAAAATTAATAGAGTAATTAATTGAATAAATACATTTTATCCACTTCCCCCCCCCCCCCAGCGTTCTAACCAGCAAGAAACCCAGCGATACTTTTTTTCAAACATATTTCACTTAACAATAATTTATTATGTACAATTTTTGAATTAATTTTTGTAGAACCAGTATGGTGGCGATCACCGCATTCCCAAGGATTATTTTCATTTATGTATTCTTTGATATTATAGTAACAGTTTTTGTACAATGTTTCTTTAATAACAAACATTTAAACTTGTTTAATGAGAAATTTTGTACATTTACTGGGATTTTGTTGTAAAAGTGTATACATTGCCCCTAATAATTCTGTGGAGTCTACTAACTGGTATTACAAGCTTATGTCTGTTCCTGGTGTTTAAAGTATGAACATCTTTATTTTTATGAAAGCTATTTATGTTTTTATGTATATACATTACATTTTCATAACTATATTGTGATGCCAAAATTAATATATTTATAACGTACATATTCTGATAGATAAAAGTACTCTACAAATTTTGCCAATTTTTCCATGCATTGCTATCTAAAATGCTTGAAATAAGTATCATGTCATGTTGCGCCGCTTAGACGCGTGACATACGCGGGTAAAACGCGAGGCACAGCTAGTTATATATAAATGTAAAATTTTAAGTTGATCACAAAATTGATGTTTTGAAGATAAAGTTGTGTGAGATATTTGCACATACCTGTATACCAGCCAAAGCATTTCCATAAATGTTATTGTGCTCAATAAGACCGCGGCCCTCGCCGAATATGTACACGCCGCCCTGATGGCCGTTGTATATCTCGTTGCGTCGTATGGTGGGGTTACTGTTTGAGGTTATCCACACACCAGCAAAGTTGTTGGAGTGGATTTTGTTGTCTATGAACTGGCCGAGGCCGGACTCGTGAACGTATATGCCGCCTGTCTGTCCGTGGTGAATTTCGCAATGTACTACGGTGGGATTTGCGCCAGCTTTCACCTCGAATCCAGCTATTCTGTTATTGTGTATGTCGTTTGCTTCAAAGTAACCCTATAAACATTAACAGTTAAAAGTTATATTTCAGATTTATTCAAATATTTTGCATACATAGATAACTACTTTTTTAAAACTACATTAATTATAATATTTACGGCCTTCAACTTAGTGTGTAAGCATAACCTATACTTTATTTATCTCAATGAATAATATATGGGTTTCAAGTTATATGGGGTTGACACTTGGTCCAATCGCCACACTTGCTGGAAAATGCTGCTGCCATCTCCTATTTCAGTTCCTTCTGTCGTCTTTTATGACACTCACCAGATTATACAGGATAGTGGATTCTATTACGCCGCCACTCACAGCGAGTTGGCCACTACAATTTTTTTTAAAAGAGTGGGTGACAAACGAGCACACAGTCCACCTGATGGTAAGCGGTTGTTGTGGCCCATAGACATCTACATCTATCCTCAATTACGAATCAAAATGCAGATGCGTTGTGAGGACTAAGGGAATGCCTCACTTCCAGTAAAAAGGGTCTCTGGTTCTCTACACTCACCATGCAAAACATAGCAGCATTAAGCTACTATTTTACGCTGATATTCTGTGAGAGCGTGGTCCTTCCCCGGTGGAGCCGACCCACTCATGCTACAACTACACTACTAATATAACTGCAGCAGGCTCTACCACGTATATATCAACCAATATATCTCTACCAATAACAATCTATGAGAGGAAGCCTATCTTCAACAGTGAACTTTAATCAGCAATAATTATGATGATGAGAACAACAAAAAAAATATATAATTGTTTATTGTTATTCTACTCACCAGACCATTCTCAAAAGTGAATATCCCGACATCGCGGCCGTGGTGTATATGATTGCGGCGCATGATAGGATTAGCGAAGTTTTTCACCCATATGCCAGCGAGTGCGTTACGTGAGATCTCATTGTCCTGGTAGGCGCCTTGCGCGTAATCCGTCACGTACAGACCTACGTTCTCACAGTCGCTGATGTCGCAGTGTTTTATTACCGGGTTCGCACCGGCGCCGCTCACACACACTGCAGCGCCCACTGTTTACACAATTGAAACAGCACGATTTGATTGAATGTTAAATACATGTGGTAAGTAAGAGCTGTGGTAGCTCAGATGGTTAGCGCTCCGGGTTTAATCCCCACCAACACCAATGAAATTTTTAATTGCGATTTTAAGTGCTGCTTTACCACATGCTTGGTGGTGTAAGAAAATATCGTGAAGAAACCTGCATACCTGAGAAATAAGAAAAAATTATATGCAAAATACATATGAAGTTCGCCAACACATCTTCGGGCTGAGCAGCGAACACTTCCTTGCCCTAAAACCCTCTCAGAAATAAGAGGAGGCCTGTGCTCATCAGTGGAACGTATACATGTGGTAAAGTTACTGTTGTGGCTTCGGAACAGTCCCGATAAAATATCCTTTTCCTAAGTATTTTCTATCCTCCCGCCTTTTCCTTTATACGTACTACTCAAGAATGGTGCGCCACCTATTGTCAAGAAAAAGAAAAAGCAAGATGGCCGCGTACGCATAAACCGTGTTCGTTACCGCTCGTTTAAAATTACTCAATAAATAAAGTTGTAAGACCATCGTACAATAGCTCGTGTCCATATACATTCAAATTGTGGTATGGTGTCTATATATACACTAAAACTTCAACATAAATATTTTACACTTCACAATAACCACGAGGAGTGCTCCAGTCTTGTGAGTATCCTTGCCTTATCTACCCAGTTCTAAAACCATGTTCATTTACTTCCCGGTTGGGATCATCGGGTTAGCCAGCCCTTGATCTGGTTGTTCTCCGGTTCCCAAAATCACCAACGAAGCACTTTGCAAAACATTCAAGCCATAACAGTTACATACAAATGTGTGTGGACAGACTCTTTTATATCCTTCTGTCTCCATGTGAGATCAGTGGTAGGCTAAGATGCAAAAAAAATTCTGGTTGGCTAGCTAGAATTTGAAACTTAAACTTGCGACTTAGAATCCCGTCACTGTAACAACTAGGTTAGCGGATCCCAAGTTAGGAATTAAGATTTTGATCATAATGACAATTCCCACTTATTATCTTTATCTGTCTCATTATTTTTATCTGTCTAGAATCTAGATAGATACATGTTTTGTCAGGTTGTATATCTGTTTGCTAGTATTAGTACTTAAATTAATTTTTTGAACTGATTGTTCCCCGCGACTTCGCCCGCGTGCAATTTATTTATGATTTGATTTAATGTTTTTAGCGAAAAAAAATTAGTCTTTTTCTAAAATAATAGCCTATGTTACTATACTATAATATTAGCTATCTACCAGTGCAAATCCCGTCAAAATCTGTCCAGCCGTTTCGGAGATTAGCCGGAACAAACAGACAAATAGGCAGACAGACAAAAATTATAAAATAGTTTTTTCTGTTGTTATACATGGTGTGTATACTTTCATATGTAAATAGTAAAAAGCTGGTATCATTACAAACAGACTCTTCAATTTTATTAATTTATATTTTTTTCTTCCTATTCATGCAACATTTTAAAAATATCATTTATCAAACAATTTTTGAAAATTCGCATTATTCCACGACTATCCATTAATTAATTTTTCAATGTTCTTAACACTTTAACAGCCGACCGTTATAAAGGTGGCCGTTCCTGGTACGCCGGCGATTTTTGCCGATATTCTATGACTCATAAAATAAAAACTATTTGTGATATGCCTATTATTCTTTTTTTATATGTACTATTGTTCTTTATATTTTGAGGGATGAAATAAAAACATTAATAATAATGAAAAATATTTATGAAAAAAAAATTAACAAGAGGTCTACAAGCGAAAAAAAAAACTCCAACATAAACATTCTTACATACTTGAGCTAACTAAATAACAAAGGAACATTGCAGTCTGGGCAGTAATAAATGGTCTCTTTGCGCCCCTTTTTCCGGTTTCTTTTTTTGAAATGTCGGCACACACTTTGCAAACTCGTGCGACCTTCTCTTTTTTTTCCGAGCTTGGAATCCTCTCAATGAAGTGGCTGCCGACGAGCCTCGTGCTAGTCCCGACAGCATGTGGACCATGGGAGGGTCCTGCTTCAGCATCTGATGCAGTTTCCACCAGTTGTTCCCCACAGTCCACCAGAAACTGCGAGAATCGCAGGCGGCGTCGTTGTTCTCTGGATTTATTGTATAAAATGTAAGCGTTTACCAGAGAACGCGCTACTAAATTGAAAAACATTTTTTTCCACCATTTCATAATTTTTCTATTCAACGAATAATACGATACATATTGGTCATTGAGATCACCACTTTTGTAGTGGTTATAGTCGAGGATGCAGTCTGATTTCACCTTTTTGCGTACGCTCACACCTTTGGCTTTTGCATCCACCTCTGTCGAGCTAGCTCCGTGTTTCGTCGTGAGCATAAGTACATCACACTTATCTTTCCATTTACAGGCAGTTAGATTGCCGCGGTGACAAAAAGCCATTTCATCTTTTTCCAAAGGTTGTTGTCGCCAAACCTGTGGCAGACCACGACGATTTGCCATCACTGTGGCGACAGTGCGAGTTTCCTTCAGCCAAAGCAAGTCTGCAATTGTCGGACTCGTAAAAAAACGATCCATATAAATGGTGTGCCATTTACCAAAATATGGTTCACTCAATTCAGTGATAATAGTCTCGACAGATTTCGAGTCGCCAACACACGGGAAACATGCGTAGTATGTAGCCCGTTTCCGCGTCACAGAGCATGTAGACTTTCATACCCTATTTATCGGGCTTATCTTTATTGTAAACTCTGAAGTGCACTCGACCCCTAAATCCACAAGTGCCCTCATCAATCGTCAAGTTTTCATTGGGATAAAAACTGTTCTCACACAAAAAACACAGTGCATCGAAATACGGTCGGAGTTTGAAAAAAGCATCGTATTCTGGATCATTACGTGGTTTATAATTTGAGTTGTCGTTTAAAGGAAGACAGCTGTAAATAGCTCTGAATCGGTTCCTATTCATGTGCTTTCTGGCGAATGAAGTTTCTATTATTTCACGAGTTGACCAGTAAGAATTGAAACTTTCTTTTTGAACGAGTGTCATATGAATGACTATGGAAAAAAATGTTTTTAGTTCCTGTTTCGTGACTGGTTTCCATTGATAAAGCATAGTGCCAGGTTTCAGGATACCTTGTCGCGTTTGTTTAGCCTTCATATGAGCTGCATAACGATTTGTTTCAGTCTTGAGCAATTTCCAAAAAGAATCAGGAAAAAAAATTGAGAAACAATCGAACAGTGACGAATTTCCATCAATCAGGGCTAATACGCAAGATATTTTTTGAAATACTGGATTTTCAGGCAGCTGCTGCACTGCTTGGTATGACCATCCATAAGTTTCATCCATTTCCCTGATAGAAGTTGATGCATGTCTGCTGCCACTGCAGCGGGTAGTCGAGCGCGTACGCGTCCGCCGCGCGATCTCGTTCTGCCTCGAAGTGTAGGTCTCGAGCGACCCCGGCTTCGACCCTCTTCTGGTTCAGATACGTTTTCTGACATGTCAGCATCATCATTTTCTTGATCTTGGACCAATACCACCTCTTGTAAGTCTTGAATTACCTCTGGAGAGCAAACACCAATAAAAATCTAGACTTCGCAAAAAAGGTATATTCGAATAAAAATACAAAAATAAAATATAATAATTTACCTTCAATTTGAATTTCCGGGTCTTCCTCAATGTCTGAGTCAACATCATTTACGAAAACATCAAAAATTTCTATAGAATCGAGCCGCCAACTACGCCGAGCGGAAGCCATTTTGCAAAGACGCGCGCTGAAAGATCGCTAGTCCTGCCTCCACCCCGCACCTCCCGTCGGTGATTCATACATGTGGGTGTAGCTAAAGAGTCATTCTACACCGGGGTTATACGCCAATCACGCATCAGGATCGTGATTTTTAAACAGACGATAGCAAAGTCAAAGCCGTACACTGCCCGTACACAGTACGTGTACGGCTGTTAAAGTGTTAAGTTAATTGTAACAGTATATTCAAGCTTTATCATACTAACCAACACTAGCACTGCGTATAATACAATGATCAACGGTGGGAGAGCAGTTGTCGGAGACCTCTAAGCAATAGTGCTTGTGATGCTGCATTGTGCTGGTGGCGTCGGGGGAGAATTTGAGCGTCATGTGACCGGCATACGCGCGGTTGGCGCCTTCCGCGAATGTTAAAGTTGACTCTGCTTCGCGTTCCAGTACCACTGATTCCGCTACATTGCCTGGGGCACAACCTGTAAATGCAGGGAAGAATGAACCCATCATTAATTACCATATGCATTATAGAATTTTCAGATTCACTTTTTAAGTTAAAATTAAGTAACTAAATAATAGTGGTTTAGTAATTTATGATTTAAGAATTAATGTGACCACTATATATGCACACGACAGATTTCATGGCGGAGAAAGTTAATTTATTCAAATATGTAAGGTTTAATATTTTTTTTATTTAATATTCATTAGATAAAAAATAAATAAAAAATGTTAATAAGTATGCAAAAAGTTCAAAACAAAAAACAAAAAACCTTAAAAGTGATTTGGTTGTATGGATGCTTATGGGTGGTACTGGCAATAATTTAAGATATGTGGACCTAAACAAAATACATGCAGTGTTGGGACAGTTAATTTGCCAAAGATTACCTGGATTTCATGCCATCACAGGTTATGTTTTTCATCCTGTGTTCTTCAGAAAAGGAAAATTAAAACGATACAAGACACTAAAAAATTATCCAGAATACCAGAAATCTTTCAAGAACATCGGCAACAGTGATTTAATTGAAAATTTAGATCATCAACAAAACATCTTTATTATTATTGAGAGATTTATATGCAATTTTACAATGTCCCTAATGTAATTGATGTTGATGTCCCTAGACTTTAAATATTCATCGACTCATATACAGTCTCCAATGTAAACAAAGCTTTTGACCGAAAAAAGTTGCAAAATTCTGACGCTAGCAATCTACTCTCCTTGCAAAAGCAAGCTAATGCAGCAATTACCGCGAGAAAATTGTATATGTACCATTTGGAATAATGCTCATCTGAAAAATACAACTTCCACATATCAACTAAAGAATAACAGCTAGGTATTGAAAGATGATAAATACCAGTTCAAATGATTTGAAGGGGATCAACTACCAAGTTATGTAAGTGATTCGTTCAAAACTCCATCAGGTATGTAATTATTATGGCAAATTACTGTACATAATTTTTTAATTATTCATAATTGTATAAGCTAGCTTATTATTTTTTCAGACACTGACGAAGAAGGCGATATTGACGACAATCATGCCATCAACTGGAGGAGTAGTGACGAAGAAAATGAAAATATCTACTACAATGATGAAATTTACAAAAAGGATTAAATATTTTTTTTTACATGTAATAATACATTTTTTGTATTTTATATTATTAAAATAAAATTTTTTACTTTATATAACATGGCTATGAACATAATAAAATTATTTTTTATTGGATATCTTAAAAGATCGCAATCATAGCATTTTTTTACTTTATATAGCATGGTTATAAACATAATAAAATTATTTTTATTGGATATCTTAAAAGATTGCAATCAACTAAGCACTCGCGCTCGCACCTACAGAGGACTTTTAACATGTCTGGCAAGATTTAAAACCCATTAAAACTGTCTGGCTATTGAGGTAACATATACAAAATTTAGCTTTAATACTATAACGAAAGTATAATTGTAATTTATTAAAGTTTAGGGGTTTCTGGCAGGGGGTAGCAACTGTCATAAGTGTCCAGCAATGGATGACTAGATTTCTAAAGTCATCCCGAAGAAAATATAAAAAATTTGAGCTTTATATTTTAACGAATTTAAGATACTATTACTATACACATTTATTACCCATTACCTGCCGAAGTAACCACAACCCAAACTCTATAGTCGCTGGTCGTTCTTATCTGTATAGGGGGCATGCACAGAAAAACTTTCAGTTTTTATAAAATAACGAAGTATCAACGCATCTGCATTTTGATTCTTAATTGAGGATTAATGTAGAGATGTCTATAGGCCAAAGCATCCACTTACCATCAGGTGGACTGTGTGGGCGGTTGTCAACATTAGTAGTTATAGTCGATGAGTGTAAAATGAGTAGTTGTGAGTGGCGTTGGCACTGACCAATGAGCTGTACGTCGGTGTCGATGGCGAGGCACTCCTCTTGGTAGAGGCCGGCGTGCACGAAGAGAAGCGCGGGCGGCGGGGCGGGCGCGCGCCGGCAAGAGCACGCCGCCGCGCCGCAGCCGCACGCACCCGCACCGCCCCCCGCTCCCGCGCCGCCCCCCGGGCCTGCGCCCGCCCCGCCCGACGCGCACGCCACCCCGCTCCGCTCCTCCACGTATTCCAGCGCCGCCTGACAGTATATTATTAACACCATTATACCCTACTAATCTATCAAATCTTGTCAGCTAGCTTTGTGCGTAAATTAACTTTAGTACTAACTAGCGATCGGATCTATCAATGTGACGCCACATTAAGTAATTTTACAATAATCATTAAAAAGTTACAGCTTAGATACATCTCATAACTGGACTCTTCTAATTTCTGAGAGTTTTAGGGCAAAGAATGTCTGCCGCGCTACCCCAATGCGTGTTGGCGAATTTCACGATTTATTTCTCAGACATGCAGGTTTCCTCACGATGTTTTCATTCACCGCCAAGTAAGCATGTGGTAACTATTTAATTAGTGCCAGGGGAATCGAATCCAGGTGGCTTGCATACCGTGACATTTACAACAAGCGCCATGCCCCTAAGCTACCACAACTCTAATAATCATTAATGACCATTGATTAAGAAATTTTCTATTTCACAAAAAACATTTCAAGTTTTTTGGATACAATAGAACCTAGACCACTTCTGGTATATCTCTCTATCTGTTTGTGAAAAATGGTTCAGCCATTTCGAAAATTAGCCCAGACAAACCGTTATTTAATATAACATACAGACACATCAATTTTACATAAATATATAGATGTGCTTTTCGCACATATAAGGCGCTGTCCTATTGCTATCGATCATGCGTTGCGTCCGACGAAAACGATCGTGCGACCGTGCGTTTACATATACACATATCTACGGAATGTCCTATTGAACGTCGTGCGATCATGCGATGCGACTGAAGAAATCGCGCGTGCGGATTCATCGGTCGATGAAATCGCATCGCATCATCGTGCGAGCGATGGCAATAGGACAGCGCCTAACGGTTTTTTGCCAGGCGTGAATAATAGACAAGCATAATATACTGGACTTGAACAGAATGCAAAGTGTTTGATACCAAGTTGTCAAACAGCTTAGGCCCTCGACTGTAAAACGCCCAAAATATCAGAAAACGATAAAATCTTTAACCAGGTAAGATGTAATCAGGCTTAATGGTTAAAACATTAATTTAAAAAACCTGACTGCCTAAAACAGTTTACTGAAAAGTGAACAATTATTTTTCATGTTAATATGACCTTAAGAGTTAATATGATTATAAGTTTTGAAAATCTAAGTGTGAATGGTTGCTAACTTTTTACACTTAAATTTTAAAGCGTGAAAAGTACTTTAAGTCGTTATAGACCCTAAATGGTCATTCAAGATGAAAAGAGATCAGAGGAACCTAAAGATGATTTTAAAGACCTATTCAATGATACCCCACTTGACATAGTTTGTCAACTTTCATTTTTTTTCTCTCTCACAATATGGCATCTGGCTATTGCCATATTCAATTTCGATTACTGTCGTCTTTAATGGCACTCACAAGATTGACAAATCAATTGAAGTAAGAATCATCAAAATCGGCCCACGCGTTTGGTCTCTAGAATGTCGCAAAGGAACATTCATACATAGGCAAATCAGCACAAAACCTTCCTTTGCGTCGCGCAGTCTGGTAAAAACGGATTGATTTAATTTATTAGACATAATATGCAAATATCCGACATTAACCATTTTAGGCAAATTTAATTCAAGTTTACCAATTCAATCAATTTTTAGTTAATTTAGCGAGAAAGATAACTTAGATATATCACAAATAATTAAATTATTCAATCGGAATGAGTAAAGCTTACCCTAATAGTATTAAAGTGCTTAATCCTCGAGTCTTTCTTGGAGCGGAAATTTGGGCGGACATGTATGCCATAGTAGAGCTGCCTGAAGCTCTCTTTCCACGGGTTATCTGCGTCGCACTCATCTGGTGCCACAAATTCAAACTGGCATGGAGCAGGGTGCATCAGTGGTGTGTCATACTCAAACACCGACTGGTATAGACTTTTCCTGCCCATCAGAGGTTTCTCTTTATTAATTTTGTTGATTATGTATACTTTCCTTGGTTGAGTAGATAATAGAAAACATAATAAAACAATGTGTGCTTTTTGTTAAAAAAATCTAGAATTAAATCAAAATCAAGCTTGAGAGTTTAGCTAAGAGTCATCGCACATTGAACATCAAAATGCTTGAGCATTTTCTTTGCAGTCAAAGTACACCACGCAAACTCGGCTAGCTATGTGTGTTGACCCTTAGAATGCCAATAATCAGCATATAAATATTCTACTGCCATTGAATTTCAGAAGCAGTTGCTGTTATTGCCACTATTTGCACCCGTTCATACCTATCAATGTAATAAGTGTACTAAGTGGACATTTCATATGGTGACTTTAGAATGTGTCTGGTCATGAAGTTATAAGTTTTAGTTATAGTAGACTTCCTCATGTTAACATTATTCTTTTTTCTTTCATTAAGTAAAGAGTGACAAACGATCACACAGCCCATCTGTTGGTAAGTGGATGCTGCGGCCCTTAGACTTCTACATCTATCCTTGATTAAGAATGAAAATGCAGATGCATAGTCAGTCACCCATGAGGTCTAAAATGGAATGCCTTGTTTCCAATAAAAAGGGTCTTCTGTTCTATTAACTCACTACCAAAACCACCAACAAAACACAGCAGCTTTAAGCTGCTATTTTATGCTGGTACGCTGTGAGAGTGGAGTCCATCTCCGGACGAGCCGATCCATTGTGCTACAACCATTATATAGCTACAGCATAGCTCTACTACTACTAAATTTATTATTGTTATGTGTTTTGTTTTGGACAAAATTATGAAATGAGTGAATAGATGAAGCAAACTACTTACCACAGTTCTGTATCATTGGCGATCGTATTGAATCTTTTGCAGACCTGCGCGACGCGACAGAGGTCACGCTCAGTTAGGTGGGACAGAATACAGAGCAGCACTTCATCGGGCAGCTCATACTGCAGGTACTGCGACACATTGCATACATCCACGCCTTGTGACAGCGATCTATTAACAAGTCAAAGTTTGTACTCTCAAAGTAAGCCAACATCGTTAACAATTTGTTTTACATTTAGCAGAGGTATTAAAACTTTTGGTAAATCATAGTGGTGAACCGCCAATCATCTATATTGCCGTTTAAGAGCAAATTGTTGGTGTTAAACCAATGTACTAATTTCGATAGAGCATTATTTACATTGTCAAAATTAATTGACTGTCCTTTGAGTTTGAAAATTAAATCAGCAAATACTATATTGTGATTGTTCCCTATAAGATTAGCTAAGTCATTAAAATAGATTAAGAACAGGAATGGGCCAAGAATCCAGCCCTGAGGAACGCCCATTGATACTACCGATCGGAAGGTACCTTTACCATTGATAAATACTTTTTGAGTTCTGTTATAATAAGTCTAAGCAATATCCACACATTTACACCACTAGGTACCCACACCACAGTCTTTCAGGCAGAATGTATAGATGGGTATCATCCAAGCGGCCATAGCAATCAATGCTAGGAAATTAAAAGACTCTTCCATCAGAATATTGACCGACAAAATGGCGGTACTATAAGCTCTGAGTTGCATTGTGGTAAACTCGGGACTAATATATGAATGCCAATCAATGACTAATTGAGGTATGTGACTGTACAATGCATAAAGAGACACAGTGGATCCAGGGGCAATGATACAGCAGAGAAACTGGCCAGGAGAGGATCGGCTCTGGAAACTATAGGACAGGAATCAATCATACCAAACCCCTTTGATAATGTTCATCCATAGGTACATAAAAACTTCACTAACCAACACGCTCAGCTTTGGAAAAATTTTGTAGACTGTACCAAGGTTCTAATCAGATTGAACAAGCCACAGATCAGAATAGTACACGTAGGCGTGTGTAACTCTTTACAGAATCGACTCACTGATCCGAATCACTGAAGTGATTCAAAAGATTGGTTCAGTTACAACGTTTTAAATGCATCATTTGAATCTGAAACATTACTTCGACGCGTCGCTAGCAAGGCAACTGAGCCGCGAGCGAGAGAGTGGCGAGAGAGCTGGTGAAATAATTACTACCTATACAAGTCAGAAAGAGATAACTAATGAGAAGTGTATCACTCAACTCCTACGGATTTTCGCTGTCGTTATTCATGCACGTAGCAATGACCACTAAGGCGCTTACGTATTAAATAATATTCGGTCGTTTTTGCATGTGATGTTTGCATTAACAAATTGTCATTTTACGTTGATGCGGCACTTGTCTTAAAAGTATTTTTTTTCTTGTTTTTTAATTTTCTACTAAGTTTCCAATTGTTTGCCTACTATTGATATAAACATTTTAAACAAATCACAAACACATCACAAATCTTAATCTAGTATTAGCATAAGCAATTGGTACTTTAACAATATATACTTACGTCCTAGGCCTTTTTCTAGCAGGAAGAGAGCAGGCGCCGGAGGGTCCGGGTTCATGGTAGGCAGGCGGCGACTTTCTGCGCAGGTCATAGGGACTGTGGTGGCCGGCGGTGGTGGCGGCAGCGGCGGCCGGCACCGGAGGCGAGCCACCGCCACCGCTGCCACTAGGCCCGGCGCAAGCCGTAGCCGCCATAGCGCTGCCTGTCACGTTGTTTGGGCAAGGTACAGATTCACATGGTTCACCTAGAATTGATATGGTATTTACATTATTTAAAGTTAAATTAAATGCTAAAAAAAGCTAAAAAAAACAAAATGAATCTTGTTTCTATCACAAATAAAACGTAAATAGGGGTTTTTCTTTAAATAATGCAAAATTTTTATTGTTTAGTATAGGCAAAACATTCTGTACTTATAGTTACAAGAGCTTTATCACATTACATAATATTTAATGAAAGGCAATGCCTCAATAAGACATTTAAAAAAACTAAATTTTTTTATAGGATAGAGTGACAAATGAGCACACGGTCCACCTGATGACAAGTGATTGTTGTGGCCCATAGACATCTACATCTATGCTCAAATATAAATCAAAATGCAGATGCGTTGTTATCTGTAAGGACTAAAATGGAATACCTTGTTTCCAGCAAAAAGGGTTTCCGGTTCTCTACATTCACCATATAAAACAGCAGCATTAAGCTACTATTTAACGCTAGTATTCTGTGAGAGTGTGGTTCTTCAAAGCGACCTATTCATGCTACAACTATACTACTAACCCTTTCGCTCTGACAGCGCGCGACATGTTATACTCCCGTTCGCTCGGGACCGTAATGGCGGGAAAATTTGCAAATTAGCAAATTTTTTGCTATATTGCAAATTTTGCTATATTTTCACTTTGAGACAATATTTATGGATAAAACTTACAGGATTTCTTGTTGAATGTATAAACTATCGAATAAAATTATTTTTGGTTGCTAGAAATTGTAATAAAATACATAAATTACCCTATATAGCATAGTAGTACCATATACTTCAATTTTAGTGACAAAATTACTACTAATTTGAATTCTAAACTTTGTTTTTTGGAGAAATTTATATGAAAATGTTTGGAAATATGTATATTTTTATGTTTTATATGTTTCCATTCGTTACTCATACCAAAATATTGAAATATAAAAAAAACTATAATAATATTTTATCTGTGTGACATTTAGAACAATATTTCAAAAATAATTATGTGTGAATTTGAAATAAATACAACGTCAAGTTATTTGAAATATATAAGAAAACTATTTTTACTTACATTTTACACTAAAAATAAATGAGAATATGAAAAATAACGCATTTATGACCCAGCCGCCATAATGGGCCTTCCAGATTTTGAAGCTCTTTTGGCAATTTACTTTTCACTTTTTATACCACAAATTATATATCTTCGTGTTCACTATATTACAAGGAATATAAAAAAAGAATAATACTTTCGTTTTTAGTCCAGACACAATTATAAAATTCTATAAAAAAGATGGAGCACATTCATCAAAACGACACGTGGAACGCCGAAAGTTTAGAGTGATTTCTTTTTTTTTTTTCTAAGAAACATTGCCAGGTTATGGTTTAAAATAAAAGAGCATATCTTTGTCTTTGATACTATTATCTATTGCATATTGTCTTTGGTTTTGTTTTAAAGGAAAAAGTAGTTTTTTCATAAGGCAGTACTTCTGATATTATCTGATCTAATTAGCCCCGTACTAGAGCGGGCGTAAGGTAGGTATTGTATGATCTGATTAGATTGTTAGCCGAGCGAAAGGGCTAATATAGCTGCAGTATGGCTCTACCACTTATAAATAAAAGTTTTATTTAAAATTTCTGCAGTAATAGTTGTAATGTTTATTAATTAATTTTGTTAATATGCAAAGATTGTCTAATGTAGCAAATATTATTAACATAATGTACTTATTGGTTCTATTTTAACATATGCAAATGAGGTGTGAATTATTGAAAAAATGAAAATCTAACTATCCACCATTGAAACTTGTTCTTGTTGTTTAATTTTAGCAGTCATGTCTGACACTCACGACCCATCCTTATGCTAGGTCAAACAATAGATATATCAACTCAGATTGACTAGAAACAAGCTACAAGCAGCTGTGCAGTCACCTCGAAACTTGAGATAGCACTGAATTTTTTACTCGCATGTTCTTCTTATATAAAGCAAATTATGGGAGGCTAACTGCTTCATACTAAACTGTGTTGACAGAAGGGAACGATTTCTGCTAAGAAATTATTTTTTTGTTTTAATAGAAGAGGGGGCAAACGAGCATGCGGCTCACCTGATGTTAAGTGACTACCGCCGCCCATGAATAACCGCAACACCAGGGGAATTGCGGGTGCGTTGCCGGCCCTTTAGAAAGGAGTAAGCTCCTTTCTTGAAGGTCCCCAGGTCGTATCGGTCTGGAAAAATCGCCGGTGGTAAACTATTCCACAGAGAGGTTGTACACGGAAGAAAACTCCTTTTGAAACTTACTGTGGTGGACCGCCAAGCATCCAGATGATATGGATGGTGTCGGGACGTTTGCCGCGTAGTGCGTTCACGAAATTTGGCGGCTGGGATTAATCCGAACAATTCCTCAGAGCACTCTCCATGGTATATGCGAAATAAAATGCAAAGAGATGCAACATCTCTTTGCAGTGCCAGTGAATTAAGCCGATCGGAAAGCACTCGGTTGTCGACGATTCGAGCCGCTCTGCGCTGGATGCAGTCAAGTGGAAGGAGCTGGTACTGGGGAGCCCCAGCCCAGAGATGGGAACAGTATTCCATGTGCAGCCGAACCTGCGCCTTGTAAAGTCGCAGGCGGTGTGCCAGCATGAAATACAGATAGTATTTCATTCTCTGCTGAGCACGCCAAGCTTTTTAGAGGCCAATTTGGCCTTCTTTTCCAAGTGACTACGAAACTGCACGTCACTCGATATGTTAACGCCGAGGATTTCGATACTGGATGAGGCAACAAGGGTAGTGCCTTGAAACTGAGGAGATACGACAAAAGGGTTCTTTTTAGCGGTTAACGCGCAAACTTGTGTCTTCTGGGGGTTAAACTGGACTAGATTTAGTCGCCCCCAATCCGAGACTCTGTTCAGCAAAGACTCTACTTCAGACACAAGTTTGTCCCAGCACTCGGAGACGTTTTCCCAAGAAATATTGGCACGGCCGGTGTAAAGAGCATCACCAGTGCTGTCATCTGCATAGCAATTAATGTTATGGGTTTGCAACATATCATTGATATGCAGAAGAAACAGCGTTGGCGATAGCACGCAGCCTTGTGGAATACCAGCATTAATAGGCTTGCAATCGGAGCTTGCACCGTCTACAACGACCTTGATGCTCCGATCTGCAAGAAAGCTGGTGATCCAATCGCACAATTTCTCGGGAAGCCCATAGGAAGAGAGCTTCGAAAGAAACGCTTTGTGCCAAACCCGATCGAAGGCCTTCGCAATGTCCAAACTAACGGCCAATGCCAACTCTACTACCTCCGCCCATCTATGAATTCGGTAGACCAGAAGATCACCAGCTGTCCGGCCACGGCGAAAACCGTATTGGCGGTCACTTATCAGCTGGTGATCCCCAAGGTACCTCATGAGCTGGCAGTTTACAATAGACTCCATTGTTTTGGAGAACAAGGAGGTGATGGCAATAGGCCAGTAGTTGGACGGGTCTGAACAGTCGACTTTATTAGGGATCGAGTGGACGAAAGCCATCTTCCATGATTTTGGGACTACGCCTAGGGAGTAGGAGTACCGGAAAAGATACGTTAAAACCGGTGCCAACTCTGGAGCACAATTGGGGGATTCCGTCAGGCCCACTCGACTTGTGGATGTCCAGGGAGAGGAGTGCTTTGCGAACTGAGCGCTCACACCACGGGATGGTTGGCGGCATACTCCCCCCGTCATCGAGAGTCGAGTTGGACGCAAAGAAAGAGCCTAGAAGATCGGCTTTCTCGTTTGCGGTATGGGCCAGTGAGTCATCCTCCCTGTGCAGAGATGGAAGAGATGGCTGACAGAAATTCCCCTGGACAGCCTTGGCGAGAGACCAGAATGCCCGTGCATTCTGAAGGAAGGCGAACTAGTTTCTCGCCAATTCTGCCTATGTGCTCTGACTTTGCCTTGGCAATGACTCTTTTGAAGGACCTGGAGGCAGAATTATACTTCTTTTTTATAGCGGTGGTGTTTACATCCCGGGACGTTGATGCGTCAGCCCAGACTCGGTAGCACTCCTGCTTATAGCATGATGCTTTTTTACAGGAGCGACCAAACCATGGCTGAGATTTGCCTCCAATGGGCACCACAGAGGAAGGAATAAAAAGTTCCATACCCTGAAGTACCACATCAGCGACAGAATCCGCAACAACGTTGGGATCGTCCTGCGAGAAGCAAACTAATAAGGTAAATGTAAAAAATGTAAAAAAAATGTAAATAATAATGATGTTTATTCTTAGATTATTACTTTTTGGTTTGAATTAGTAAAAAAAGTTAATTGTGAATGTATTATTTATAATTTCTTCTCACATTTTAACCAAAAATATTTTCTAAAATGATAACAAAATAGCCCAGAAAATTCTAAGACTTAAGGCCGTTTTAGATGTTTTCACTATATTTGGCGAATTTTTTTCTTAAAATTTAAGAATTTTTTTTAAAGTATCACACAGTGTAAGTGAAGACTTCAATAAAATAAGTTTAATATTTTTAAAATTGTAACTGCCTATTTATGTGTTTCTTAAGGACCAGCCTCTTAGGATAATTTAAATTATACTCAGGATGGAAAACCTTAAATATCTATATCATAGGTCTTAGTAGATAGGAAATTTTGTCTATTGAACTGAGTAATAATCAATTACCAAAAACAATTTAACAGGCTAAAAGATTTTTATTTTTACATTTTGCCTAAAATTATTTTTAGATTTAAAAAGTTCATTATTTCTGGAATAGCCAAAAATTAAAGTCTATTCAAAGGATATATTTACAAATTTATACACAGCTTGGAGGATTCTGCCTGCCAACTTTTTCAATACATTGAAAGCAAGGTGACAACATATAGAAAGTTATTGTATACCTCTTACATACCGGCCAAATGTAACTGTATCAAAATAATTCAATGCATATATGAAATAAAGCTTATTAATTTTTTAACATTAGAAATACTAACAAATTTATAAATATTATTAATAATTGAGAATATTTTGAAAGTTTTGTTAAAACATTTAATTTTATACGACAAAATTTGTTGTCACTAGCTCACTCAAATAATAACAATTTTCAATAGAAAAAGTTTCAATATTTACGATCAATAAAAGGTAAACAAATCAATGACTGATAGCTAAGGTTCTAAGTAACATATTTTTAAAGCATTGCTAATTCTACTAGCTAAATGTTTTAGTCATACTTGTAATTTATTACTTAAAATGAAATAAAATGTTTCGTAACTAAACGGCGTACGAATACCAAGTGTCGTTCGGAACAGCTGTTTCGTTACGCCGTGTAAAATAAGACTTCATGTATCAAATCAATACTCACATTGCGCAAAATGTCGCTGAATTGCGCTATTCAATATATATATGCAAATTTGAGGCTCTGGGATTATTAACAGAAACTGAATATTAGTAGCTACGCTAAACAATGGTCTCTAATGAATAAAAAATCAATTTAATTTCGAACTTCAATAAACAATATACAAAGGTGCGACACTAATGAAAATAGCTTCTTAGGCACATTAATACCTTTCAGGAAACTAGTATAAAGTAGTATTATAAAACGTACATTTACAAAAACGTCGATAACGAGCCATTTGTAAAACTTGGTGCGACATCAAACGACCCGGATAACTTACTTGATTGTGTCCTAGATGGTAGTGGTATTCTGTGTCCGCCTTTTCTTCGCGATCTACGGACGTAAGAACGCGAAGAGGAAAACGAGGCACTAGGCATTATTTCTTTAAATGCTTATTTCACTAGAATTCAGCCTAAACAAAGGAGACACCCGCACCAACACCGTCGGCCATTTTCTGTTTAGAATAGATTGGAGAACCGATACAGGAAATACAGATTAAACCACATTAATAGTCACTAAAGAAGAACTTCTTATCTTTCACGTATATTGCACTAATCACTAATACTAATATTATAATAGTTAACTCATAAAAATCATTATTTAAATAATTATGTTAAAATTCACACTACCCTAAAACCAAAGGGCGACTCTCAGAAAAATATGGCGGAATTTGGATTAAATATGGCGGTGGCGATTCGACTGCCATCTGATTTCTGAAGCTAGAAACCAAAGAGTATAGGTGTCACTAACCTCCAGGGTTTCTAGTAAAATCGTTGTGAAACCGTCGTTGTGATACTCTTTGTAGACGTGGGCGTTATTTCACGTCACTAGAAGCAGTAACTGGCTTGAACTGGCTACGCGGCATGTAACCGAATCACTAGTTTCGAGACATGTTACAAGTGGTGATTTTTGTAAATGCGTGATTACGATTACTGTTAACCATGATTATTGCGGGAGTTGACTGTCGGCCGGTCAAGCGCAAGCGCACATGTGGCATACAACAATAAACAAAACATCGTAAGTAACAGTATTATTGTACGTTTAATTTTCATACGTAAGACTATAGACATACAATAAAATAGAGTAATCTCTGTTTGTAAATAATTTCAACGGGTTGCGATTCCGGAAGCGAGTCACATTCAATTTAACTAAAATAATTTTTAAACGTAGACAGAGAAACCTATTTTGACGGAGTCATGAACTCGTTTATTTATAAAATTAAAATAAAACTAAAAAATAAATATAAATGTTTATAATATTATAAAACTTAAAAACTGTGTGTAAATAGCCAAACAAACAAACAAATTAATTGTACAGTGTAAATAAAAGTGCAAAAACAAATGATAGTGAAAACGTTGAAAAAGTGTAAATAAACTGCAAATATCAACAATCAAATTGACTTGCAAATATGCCTGCATTAATAATTTTATGAAAATCTTAGTGTCATAGTAAACGCAAATCTAAATAAAGTATGAAGGAAAGTTAATTTATTAATTTAACAGTATACAGTTACTGTAAACAGAATTGTGATTAAATTTATTTTCGTTTCGTGTGTAACTGTATTGTTGGTGGTGATATTTATGCAAACAATCACAGTAGCCGAATAAAAATAACCAATTACAAAAATCACTAGTTTTGAAACAGGTGACGCCGATCAAGTCTTTGGTTTCGTTATGTTTCTTGAATATGACGTAACGACCTATGTTTGGTTTATACCTTTGGTTTCTAGCATGGAGGCTAGAGAGAAAGAGGACGATCGCTGTAGAATATAGTGTCCTAGACGTAGACAGAGAAACCTATAGACTAATGATTAGCGTGGCCTCGAGTGAGAATGGATGATAACGTAGTTTTAGATTAAACAATAATCTTTATGACTTAAAATTTTTAATTGTTCCAAGAACTGAACTGAACAAGATTCACCAACCTTAAGCTCTCAAAACACTTTATTTCTCACTTAAACCAACTTGTTAGATAAATTTGGTAGGTAAACCAACTCCTTAGATCGCCACGAACTGTCAAAGTTGTTTAGCATTGTAGTTTGCTAAACAAAAAAACCGGCACGGAGGAAGGGACAAACAATCACACAATTCTGTCTCATTTATATGCAAGACGTATGCAAAAATCTATCTTTATCGTGTGCGAATGCGCAAGAAGGCGTCAATTTGTCTATAGGTTTCTCTGTCAACGGTCCCAGAAATATGGCCAAAATAAGTGAAGTGCTGCGATTGCTAAGTTGTCTCAATAAAAGTAGTTTTTTTTTTATAGAAGAGGGGGCAAACAAGCATGCGGCTCACCTGATGTTAAGTGACTACCACCGCCCATGATCAATCGCAACACCAGGGGAATTGCAGGTGAGTTGCCAGCCCTTTAGAAAGGAAAAAGCTCTTTTATTGAAGGTCCCCAGGTCGTATCGGTCCGGAAAAATCGCCGGTGGTAAACTATTCCAAAGAGTGGTTGTACGCGGAAGAAAACTCCTTTTGAAACGTACAGTGGTGAATCACCAAGCATCCAGATGGTGTGGATGGTATCGGGACGTTTGCCGCGTAGTGCGTTCACAAAATTTGGCGGCTGGGATTAATCCGAACAACTCCTCAGAGCACTCCCCATGGTATAAGCGAAAGAAACGGCAAAGAGATGCAACATCTCTTCGCAGCGCCAGTGAATCGAGCCGATCGGAAAGCACATGGTCGTCGACGATTCGATCCGCTCTGCGCTGGATGCGGTCAAGTGGAAGGAGCTGATACTGGGGAGCCCCCGCCCAGAGATGGGAACAGTATTCCATGTGCGGCCGAACCTGTACCTTGTAAAGTTGTAGGCGGTGTGCCGGCATGAAATACTGTCCCGCTCTGCTGAGCACGCCAAGCTTTTTAGAGGCCAATTTGACCTTTTCTTCCAAGTATCCACGAAACTGCACGCCACTCGATATGTCAACGTCGAGGATTCCGATACTTGCTGAGGCAATAAGGGGAGTGCCTTGAAACTGAAGAGATACGACAAAGGGGTTCTTTTAGCGGTTAACGCGCAAACTTGTGTTTTCTGGGGGTTAAACTGGACTAGATTTAGTCGCCCCCCAATCCGAGACTCTGTTCAGCAAAGACACCACTTCAGACACAAGTTTGTCCCGGTACTCGGAGACGTTTTCCTGAGAAATATTTGCACGGCTGGTGTACAGAGCATCACCAGTGCTGTCATCTGCATAGCAATGAATGTTACGGGTTGCAACATATCATTGATATGTAGAAGAAACAGCGTTGGCGATAGCACGCAGCCTTGTGGAACACCAGCATTAATAGGCTTGCAATCGGAGCTTGCACCGTCTACAACGACCTTGATGCTCCGATCTGCAAGAAAACTGGTGATCCAATCGCACAATTTCTCGGGAAGCCTATAGGAAGGGAGCTTCGAAAGAAGCGCTTTGTGCCAAACCCGATCGAAGGCCTTCGCAATGTCCAAACTAATGGCCAATGCCTCCCCCTCGGACTCTACTGCCTCCGCCCATCTGTGAATTAGGTAGACCAGAAGATCACCAGCTGACCGACCACGGTGGCGACCGTATTGGCGATCACTAATCAGCTGGTGATCCTCAAGGTACCTCATGAGCTGGCTGTTAACAATAGACTCCACTGTTTTGGAGAACAAGGAGGTGATGGCGATAGGCCGGTAGTTGGACGGGTCTGAGCGGTCGCCTTTTTTAGAGATCGGGTGGACGAAAGACGTCTTCCATGATAATGGGACTACGCCTAGGGAGGGTACTCCTAGTACCGGAAAAGACGCGTTAAAACCGGTGCCAACTCTGGAGCACACGTTCTCAGCACAATTGGGGGGATTCCGTTAGGCCCACTCGACTTGTGGATGTCCAGGGAGAGGAGTGCTTTGGTAACCGAGCGCTATGTGAACTGCACTTCCGGCATGGAGCACTCACACCGCGGGATGGTCGGCGGCGTACTCCTCCCGTCATCGAGAGTCGAGTTAGACGCAAAGAAAGAGCTCAGCAGATCGGCTTTCTCCTTTGCAGTATGGGCCAATGAGTCATCCTCCCTGTGCAGAGATGGAAGAGATGGCTGACAGAAATTCCCCTGGACAGCCTTGGCGAGAGACCAGAATGTACGGGTTCAAGAAGGAAGGCGAACTAGTTTCTCGCCAATTCGCCTATGTGCTCTGACTTTGCCTTGGCAATGACTCTTTTGAAGGACCTAGAGGCGGAATTATACTTCTTTTTTAGAGCGCGGGTTTTTACATCCCGGGACGTTGATGCGTCAGCCCAGGCTTGGTAGCACTCCTGCTTATAGCATGATGCTATATTACAGGAGCGACCAAACAATGGCTGAGATTTGCCTCCAATGGGCACCAGAGAGGAAGGAATAAAAAGTTCCATACCCTGAAGTAGCACATCAGCGACAGAATCCGCAACAACGTTGGGATCATCCGGCCAGAAGCAAACCGGCCCCCAAGGATAGGATGCAAAGAAAGACCGCATCCCATCCCAATCGGCTGACCTATAGTGCCAAACACGGCGGCAGCTTACAGAATGCAACTGCGTTTTCAGCGTGAGTGGCACCACAGTCCGGACAAGACAATGGTCCGAGGAGCCTAAAAGGGCGTCGACAGAAATCTGATATCCGTCCGGGTGAGAGGTCAGCAGAAGGTCCAACAGGGAAGGTGCATGATCCTCCACATCTGGTATCCGCGTAGGCGAAGTAACCAGTTGTGTCAGACCATATGCCAAGGCAAAATCATGAACAGATCTCCCCGCATGATCGGTTAAACGTGAACGTGAACTTCACCAAAGCCATTCGGCGTGATAGGCGTTAAAGTCGCCGAGGATCACGATCTCTGCGGAGGGGATCTGCTGTAGCAACGAATCTGTAGCCATTTGGACGTGGTCGAAGTGTCGGACTGTTTCGGCATTACCGCTATGGGACCTATAGAGGCACCCGTAGACGCGCGGGTGGTCGCCGCTGTCTACGCGTAGCCAAAGGATGGACAGGTCCGAACCTTCAAGACTGCCGAGGCGTCGAGAACAGATGTCCTCTCTGACGTAAACGCAAACTCCAGCCCGAGGCACAATGGAGTGTTCCAGTTTGTACCCCGGGTAGGAGAGATACGAGACATCAGCCGGAGAGGACACCTGCGTCTCGGTCAGAAAGAGCATGGTAGTGGACACAGTGGCGAAGCTAGGGCTCCAACCTAGGGCCAGCCCAAGATATGGTTTTGTTGTTTTTAGCAGTTTAATAAAAATACACCAATCTTGAGCTGTCTCCACTCTTTAGTTTCATATTCAGTGCTGTCAAGGACGTGTTTAACAAAGCACACAGAAAGCATACTACCGCTAGATAGATTGTATGACATAATATGCAATTGCACACCTTCGGTGGTT